ATGTATCAAGTCCACTATCAGATGAGAATGTATCAAGTCCACGATCGGATGCTGGGAATCAAGACAACTACTATGGCAGACGACTTCGGACTTGGTGCGTTCTACATAGTCTCCCTGAACATAAGTAAAAAAAATAAAGTTGAGAATGGATAGAGAGAAGAAATTAATAAAAGAGCAAAAGGAGGAAGAAAGCCCGGAGGAAGGTAAAAAAAGAATCAAGCAAACGAAAAATACAGAAAGGGTGAAATAAACAGTTAAAAAATGAAAGTAGAATAAAAGTGAGTCAAGAATGAAAAAAGTGAGAAGAAATGAAAACATTATAATAAAAAAGATAGGGGTAGATTAGAAAGCCGAATAGTTTTAATAAAGAAAGTAATAAACGCAGTAAATTATGCAAGGTAAGGATATGACAAGAGAAAAAGGGAAGAGCGTAAAACGAAAGAGAAATGAAAATAATTATTGCTCAATAGTTCTTTGTGAGGTGACCATCTCGGCTTGTCCGTGAGCTGACGGATGGGCCTGTCGACCAGGAGGCTGTGTCGTGTGTACATGTCTTGTGTGTGAGTGTGTGGTGCTGCGGAAAGACGCCACTCGTTTGTGGAAGTCTTAGCAGATGTCGAAGTCACACTCTGCCGATGGACCACCCCTCCCTCCCAGACTGTCAGAGTCACTTGGACCCGTCGCTTGACATGGCCAATTTGCTGCAGACGATCTTATCGCCAGGACAACTGGAGACGAGTCGCCATCTTCCTGACGAACCAGGCTGTCACAAATCGTCGCCTCACCGGCGAGTCGCACTGTCACGGCCCAGCAGCAAGACACAAACTTAGACGTTTTCTATACAAAGTTAGAATAGGTTTCGATAAATCTTTTGAGCTAACATTGTTGTGGATACTTTTATATTGTAGGAGAGTGAAAATGAAGAGATTCCTATGTCGATTTTGCCAGAAAACGACGGTTGATCTCGGTTGTTCTGAAGCCATTTGGCTTTAATACGAGGGTCTGTTTAACGTCGCCCAAGAGATATCCTTCTTTGTTTCGGGTGTGAAATGCTGAGCTTTCGTCCCTCATTTTATGTGACAGATGTCCTCAGAGCTGAAACTCATCCTCACAAAAGTGTCGATTTTGTAGAGCAATTAAGAAAAATTTAGTTTCGAAAAATCCCATAGTAATTTATTGTGACATGACTTACTATTTCGAATGAAAAGTTGGTTAGAAAGAATCCGTGAAACTGGAGCAGGATTGCCGCGGAGTGAAGACTGTTCGATTATGCCAAGAAGTCCTCGGCTCACCATCTTTCGACCCCGATGAACCTGTGCTGAGCTTTCATCTTTACCGCCGTGACAGACATCATTGGAGCAGGAATCCATACTTTACGAACCAAAAGTATACTCTTGGTTTAGTACATTTTTGCTCAATTTAGTAAAGTATGGATTCCTGCTGCAATGATGTTTGTCACGATGGTACAGACAAAAGATTAACACAGGTTCATCGGGATCGAAGGACGGTGTGCCGAGGACTTCTCCGCACAATACAACAGAATTCATTCCAGTGCAATCCTGCTCCAAGTTCGTTCCAACCAACTTTTTCTTCGAAATGGTAAGTCGTCACAATATTTCGAGTTAAAGGTCAAGAAGACTAGCCGCCTCTGCCCTACATGGTTGCGTAAGTTCGAAAGTGTGTCTTGTTAAGATTACACACAATCAAGTGTAAGTATTAAGACTGATATTAAGAACAACCAACCATTGTGTTTTTAGTCGTCAGCATGTGGGATATTGTCAATATGAAGAATATCTGGGTTTTGATGAATCTCCTGGCACAACAGCTTTGGGGAGATTTTCGTTTCGTATGAAAAGGCGTGAAGAATAGATTATGCTATTCTGCCATCTTTCTAAGAAGATGGGCGAACTAGTGTGGAAGAGGTGGATAAAACCAGTGCTTCAAGAAACCCTCACACTTTCTTCTGTTATGCTATCTGACCTATTCTCGAGATCCGGCTTGTACAATATAGTGTGTTCCTGTGGTCGACCTCATGTTGGTGAGACATATTGTCCTATTGACCAAAAGAAAGGAAGATAAGAAAAGCTATTGAAATTAAAAGATTAGGCAATTAGTTGAATGGGAGTAACGGTGATGGAAAGTTGAGTGGGAAATACTTATGCTCGATTGATATATTGAAAGAGAGAGAAGATGTGAAGCCGCCATCCACAATAAGGCGACTCAACTTGTCCGCTCAGCAACGGTTCCAACTTCACTTACACTCGTGCGACATGTTAGAGTAATAAGACGTACCAGATGACGCAGACTCACAGTCATGGACTGTTACACTTTAATGTTCCTAGATTGAGAGGCTAGGACATGTGGTTTCGTAACTTGGCTTACACACTTACAAGCTTACATCTCATAATCTCAATCATATTTGCTTACGGACATACGCAGTCTGGGTCAGGGTGGTGTCCGGCCTTGGTGGTCATAGCCTGACATTGACCTCTTTTGATCACTCCGGTATTGCATATATACGTTAACAAACACACAAACACACACACTCAAGCAAAACTAGCAGGACCAGTATGAAAGATAATTAGCCAATTTGTATTCATTTTCGTTTTTCCTGAATGAGTATTTGTAAAAGGTGAGATAGTGTCAGGTAGTTTCCTTGACCACTTGTTAATGTGAGACTTTTAGATGAATATCTTTCAGTTCTGATGATGTCCGTCAGATTTTGGACGAAATCTCAGCTGTTTTCACCCGAAACTAGGGAGGATATCCCATGGACTGCCTAAACCTGAACGTCTGCAGTACAACGTGAATCAGCTGTCATCTGATGAATCTCTTCTTCATGTACCAGCATACAAAATAAAAGTTTCTCCGACTAAATGGGATTTAGCTCACTTCCATTTCGAGTGAAAATGTTTGGTGAAGAGATTCGAAGGTTGATCCAACCAGAATTCGACGATGTATTGCTCTTGACCAGCTATCGATTGAAATTCCCGCTGTTTCCAAGGCAATCTCCTTCGATTCCGATGTAAGCATGCCAAGCTAACGAGTTTTAGATACGAACAGAAAGTTGGTTTCGATGAATCTCCTGAGATAACATTGTTAGGGGGACCTTCATTTAGAATGAAAGTGCATGAAGAAGAGATTC